AGGGGGGGGAAAATCCCAATAGATTAAACCCCCCCCCCCCCCCCAGCCGAGGCTTGCAGGATTTTACAAATATTTGGACAAAAACACGCCCTGCACGGGGCCTATCCCTGGGGCCAGGGGGGCCACCCCCCCCCCCCCCCCCCACACACACACACACCTTCCCTCCCTCTGGACTCGCCCCCCCCCCCCGCCCTTTGTGCGAGGCCCGCCTGGCACACACGCCGCCGCGGCCCCCTCTCCGCCCAGGTCCCAGCGCGACGCCTGGCTCGAGGCCGTCCACTCCGACGTCGGAAAGATGATGGCGATTAAGGGCGCTCACGACCCGTCCCACACCTTCCGCTCGCGGCTCGTCGAGGGGCACAGCCTCCCCGAGACGCACCACGCCGGCTCCATCGCCCCCGCCATCCCCTGCGGCTCCACCTCGTGCACCGTCAATGTCCTCGGCACCCTCGTCAACGGCGACTCTCGTGCCGCGAGACCTCTCGTGGACTGCCGCGAAGTGCCCCCGACATGTCCCACACACGTCCCATAGGCTTCTCGTGCCGTGACCACATGGAGTACCAGCGGAGCGGCTACAAGGGACACATGCCGATGAACGCCATCGCCGCGTGCAACGTCGTCGCTTCGATGTACCCGCCGTGCGCCCCGTGCAAGCCACCTGGCCTCCCACCCCAGCGGCAGTCGATGCGGCTGCGGCGGCTGCAGGCCATAAACGCGTCGGCGAGCCAAAACTTGCGAGTCGACGTCAGCATCGCCGAGCTGCCGCCGCCGCTGCAGGAGCTGGTCTGGGCCAACCGCTCGCTGCTCGGCTGGGAGCCGCCGCCCCATTGGGAGTGAGCGTCGCGGCGGAGTGAGCGTCGCGGCGTGCCACGCGTGGAGGGTTGTGGTTGCTTGGCGTCCAGTGGCTGGGGAGTACGGGCCGCGCGTTAAACTGCGCCCCGTCCCTCCTTCCTCGCTCTCCTTTGCGTGCTCTGTCCACACACAGCCTTGACCCTGTATTGTTTGCGGGTAATTATTGCTAAAAATATGTAGAAAACAGAGACAACCCAAGGGAGGGATGGGAGGACGGCACGCCACCACCACGGAATTTTTCCGCCTGTTGGAAAAATTCTTTTTCAGTCGTGTTTCAGCACATATGCATATACGCGGGCTACAACTTTCTCCGAGACCTCGGGAGCGGGCAGGTATTCACACCTCGGCAGTGTGGGCAGGGCAGGGCAGGGCAGGGTGGGTTTCACACCCGGGGCAGGTAGGGGATCGGGCAGCGCAGGGCAGGGCAGTTGTGCGGCAGTATGCGGCAGGGCAGGACCACAAGCAGAGTGGGCAGGTCGGATGTCAAGAGGCAGGTCCCAATTGCAGGACTGAGATTTAAAAACTCACGTCGTGAAAAAAAGGCGTGCATAATTGCTGTGGACCTGAGATTCACACCCTATTTCCATTGAGATTACTTATAGGGACGGCCGATCGATGAAACACACGTGATAGCTCGCGAGCTCAACAAGTTCTCAATCAAATCTCAGGGGGGTCTGATGTGTATAGGAAATGGACGGCACTGCAGTTAAGAAGTCTTAGCTACTCTATTTCCGTCCAGTAATCTTCGTGGTCCAAATACCTGTCAGATCGCCGGAGGTGCGCCATCCACTGTTGAGGCGTCTGTCGCCGATTTCTTATTTTAGCTACTCGGACGATTCGCTGAGCCTTTCGGGCCCACTTCCGGATCATAGCCTTAATCTCGTCCCCGAGGAGTAGAACCTCCCAGTTGCGACTGTCATAAACTGTGTGGCCACTAGCTGATCTCATCCCCCCATGGCGGCATCAGAATTCTTCAAGGGTTAGGGTTAGGGTTAGCGTAGAAATGTCCCCGAGTACCCGTCCCACGAAGCCCTGGGTTCCAGTTAGGGTTGCGCCGCACTTGGGGCCACATACTAGGGCCTGGTCGCCCTTGGTAAAGGACCGTTCTTGTGAGCAAACCATGTCCGTCCCTTGCGCGCAGTCTTAGGGCCCTGATGATGCGGCGCCACTTGGCCCGCCTTACGATCCGTGCCACCGCCTGCCTAAACGTCTGCACGACGCGCCCAAAGTTTGCCACGTGCTGCGCGCGAGACCAACCTGCTCTTGCTGCCGCGTAGGGCGCCCAATCAGGCCGTATTGTTCCGTAAGCGGAATTTGGGTCAGTGTAATCACCCACTTGCCCCCGGGTGATAACTTCTTGGGCATACTGAGTCCAGGAACCAGTGCTTGCGGCAACTAGCTCATTTCCGTAAACTGACCCACGCCACAGTGCGGAGGGAGTACCTTGGAGACGTCGTCTGTTGGCCTGCGCCGCGGCCACAGTGGCAGGGGTCCATTGGTCTAAACTCATGCTTCCCACACATCAGAATTCTTTTTTACTCTGCGATTGGTTGCGGAATTTCTTTTTACGGGGGTGCGTCATTCGCACCTAGCCCACGAATGCCCCCAACATCATAGAAGGATTCGTTTGGACCAATTGGTACGCTTGGACCAAATCGCGCATAATAATTGTCCAATTCTTGGTCGGAGGCCTGCGCAGGGTCCCTCACAGGTGGCCATCTAGGGGCTGATCGCGAAGAATGGGCTATCATTGATCCATATCGTCTGCGCAGTCTTAGGCCCCTGATGATGCGGCGCCACTTGGCCCGCCGTACGATCCGTGCCACCGCCTGCCTGAACGTCTGCACGGCGCGCCCAAAGCGATCGAGGCCCAAAGCGTTTCCCCGGTCGACAACTCCAGACAAATAGTCGCCCATTGTATCTGTAGCACTTGGCCCACTGTACATCTGTAGCTGGTACCTGTAAGGAAGGAGTAGTGCCGTATCTCCAGCAGGATGTGGGCGTGCACCCGGTTCTTGTTCGGCCCCACCTCCACGTTGCCATCAAACCGGATGCCGCCGTCCTCAATCACCTCGTCCCACTTGTCGTTCGCGCACCGCTCTGCGGGCCCTGCCATCCTTGGGTTGTTGTTCTTGCCGGTGGGGCCGATGACGACGTACTGCTTGAGCGAGTTTGTGGCCGCGAGGTCCTCGATGACCGCCTCCAGCACCTTGATGGTGTTGGCTTGCCGGTCCGGGTTCGTGTGGTAGGTCTGATTTGGATTGATCGTGATAAAGAAGTTGGACTCGATCAGCCGCCGCGGCTGCGACGTGTCACCCTTGTAGTCGCGGAGGTGGTGCGCCTTGTGGCCGACGGGGCAGCGCTTCACGTGCTTGCCGCGCGCCGTCACCTGCGCCTTGTCGATCCCCGCCGTGCCCACCGACACGGGGGCCGAGAAGTTCACTGCCGAGTGGCTTCTGTCGCGGGCCACCATGGATAGACCCCTGGCTCCCTGTCTGCGGATCGCCAGCCGATTGTAGACGTTGGTATTTGGCATCCACTGTCATAGGAGGGGTTGAGAAATTCGAACCCAAAATGGGCCGCCACACCCTCCACCTGGACGCCGAGGCGAAGGTCAGCCACTATGTCTGTGACTATACAGGCATCCCGATGAAGGGGCCCGGCTGCTTCATGCCCTTCTGGAAGACGCCCACCTCTCGCATGACCAAGCGCGGCAACTTCTGCTGCTGGGAGGCGGTGCTGCAACACGCCCGCGCCACAGCCGACCGAGACATCCTGCCTAAGATCGAGTCCTATGTGGCCGAGGAGACGCACCACATGATTGGGCCGCTGCACCTCACGGCTAGCGACCTCACGCACCTGGGCGGCACGGTCCTCATGGAGCACTGGCTCGACGGGCTGTGGACGCCCACCAAGGACGTCCCGGCCATGCTGGTCAAGCAGGACGGCCGAGTGCTGCCCGTCACCGTCATGTGCATCGATGGCCGGTACAAGTTTCAGTACTGGATCAACACTGCCACCGCGCACTCGAACGACGACAACCCGTGGACAGTGCATCCCTACGACGTGTGCTATTGCTCCGTTGACGGCAAGGAGATCGCCGTGCACACAAGCCCGCACGCCAAGGTGGTGAACCCAACTGCGACCTCCCTGGCCGGCCAGCATGTGTGTGGGGACGCCGTCTTTGCGCGCTATGTGCACGAGACGGCTCTCTACAACCGCATCCGATACGTGCCCCTCTACGCCCTGCCGACCCACCAGACCTACGCAGACCTGCTCGCTACGCTGGTGTCGCAGCTTTCCTCTTTCGAGAAGGCTTCCTCGGCGTCGGCGGAGGCTCCTCGGGAGGCTGCGAAGGCGGCAAGTGCGGCTGCCCGGCGCACGCGGTGTGCGGCATGTGCGTCGACCAGGGCAAGCTCGCCGCGGCCGAGCAGGCGGCCATCGACCTGGAGACGCGCTTCCACGCCTCGACGAACGTCGTCATGGACCTGGAGCGGCCCGAGGACGAGACGGCGGCGCTGCTGCAGCGCTGCGTGCACGTCTCCGACGAGACGAAGCGGCGGCTGCTGGGCGAGTGGAGCGACGAGCGCATGGCGCACGCGCTGCCGCTGCACGCATGCGCCTCGTGCGGCGTGCGGGACCCGTCGCTGACGTACACGCGGGTTGACGTGTCGGCGCTGCCGCGTACTGTGTCTGTGCGCGTAGCCCCGGCGGCGAAGACGAGACGCGGCACGTGTTTGAGCTCTCGCCCGAGCAGTGCGCTAAGTATCGAGGTCTTCAAAACAAAAAGGTGCGCCTTGCGTTTCCCAACGGCGCGAGCAACGACCGTCCCAACGGCGACGGTACGCACGAATTCCGCGACACCGACATCTCGCGCGTCATCAGCTGCTGGGAGTCGGACGACGGCACGCTCTACCACCTGCACCCCGAACTCGTCGATCGCCGCGCAAATGAGAACGGCGTGATGGTGCCATGCGCGATGCTGTGTCAATGGTGTGGTGAAGAGGAAATTTAGAAAAGGAGTTGCGGTGTTGATCGCCGCGGGAGCCCTCTTATATCATTAGATGCAGTCACTGGCGTTGGCCGCGACTCTGTCGACGTCCGCCGCTCTGCTGCTAGAGTCGCGGCGCTCGCTGCTCGCGCTGCCAGTTCTCGTAACGCCTCTCTGCGCGCGCAGTGACGAGGTGTTGCACGCCGTGGCCTCGCTTCAGTGCAGCCGCGAACGCAGCCGCGACCAGCTTGGCAAGCTGAGCCTCGAACGCGGCGTCGGCTTCATCCTTCGCGGCCTCCGCGGCGGCTCTCGAGTCTTGGGCCGCTTTTTTGGATGCGAGCAGCAGGTCCGAGCGAGGCGACATGGGGCGCCTGTTCGGCGAAGCGGCCACTGCTCCTGGCGGGAAAACAAGAAATGGGCAGCGCGGACAAAGAAAGCCAATTGTTGAGTTTGGCCCTCGGGGAGGGCCCGGGCCCCTCTTCGACAAAAAGGGCCCTCCTGAGAAGTGCGCCGACTTAATGATTTAGGATTCGAATCTCGAACTTCTGATTTACTCCTTGAGGTTCCCTCAGGCCCGCCGCGCGCTCGCTGGACAGCGGCCGTGACTCACCTGCTTCGGGCGCGCTGCTCCTCGGGGATGGCGAGAAGCGGCAGAGGCGATGCTCATAGATGATCTAGCCCCAGATGCCCCGTTTGCCCCACTGCGGCGCCGCGCTCGTCCTCGACTATCCGAAGCAGGGCTCCTGCGGCGAAGCTCTCATCCCAGATGCGGGCATACCGTTTGTGAAGGCGTTCGGTGGCCTCGAGAGCGGAAGCTGCGCCTCGGCTGGCTACAGTGTCAAAGAGGGCGAGGAGAATGGCACTAACGAGCGCGATAAGGACCGCACCTACACCGTTTATGGCAAGGGATAGATAGACCAGGAACGACGCCGCGAAGCCAAGAGTCATGAGTGGAGACTTGTGTCACGAAGGTGTATTGATGTCTATTGCATGACTCCCGAGTTTGACGCTGCACACTCACCGGTACAGCATTCTCTCTGCTCGGCTCTCCGCGTCTCCGATCCCCCCCTGTCTCGCCGACACAAGCTACACTCTCTCGTCTCGTGTGGCGCGTCAAAATTGAGAAACTATTCGCGGCATGCTTTGCGGACTGCTAGTACAGTGGGCGGTATCAGTACAGGGGGAGGTATCTATCCACAAACGTCACACCCGTTCACACAAAATCTCGCAAAAAAACAGCAAGACGCGCCCTCCGTGCGTCGATCGTGTGGTATCACCGAGCGCTCCGATAGCGACTGGGAGCAGGAAGCAGCACTGATGAGTCAGTGCAGCTTCATGCTGCTCGGCAGCGCCCAGCCGTCCACGTCGACCGCTCTGTGGCCTCGGCCGCTCAGCCGGCGAGAGAGCAGCCTCGGCGACGGCCCCACGCTGCCCAGCGCGTAGCCCGCCGCGAGGGCGAGCAGAGCCCACCCCAAGCCTCCTCCCGCCCCCCCGCCCCCTCCCCCTCCCCCTCCTCCGCCCGCGCGGCACGAGTCGAGCTCCGCCTGGCACTCGCCCTCGAGCGCCTTGTACACCTGCGCGAGGCGGGAGTGCCGCCCCTCGATCACCTCCTCGAGCTCCTCCTTGAGCTGCAGCTTCGCGCGCCTACAGGCCGGAGCAGGAGAGGGCTCGGGCAAGCCTCCTCCTCGCCCCCTCCCCGAGCTCGAGCTCTGGCGCGCAGGGAGCCAATCTGCTTTTCGAGCTGCGCCGCCGACCCCTGCTTCTGCAGCGCGTGCGCCGCGGCCTCCAGCTTGCCGCGGCAATCCTTGGCCACGCGCGTGGTCTCCTCGAGCCGCTTGAGCAGCGCCGCCTCGGCGCGCGCGATGGCGCCTACGCGACGCGTCACAAGGACGCGTCACGGACGCGTCACGGACACGTGTCATGGCCAGCCCTCGCCTCGGCGCGCCTTTGCAGTCCGCGCCCGCGCCCTCCCGCTTGCTCGCCTCGGCGAGGCGAGCGCGCAGATCCCGCGAGACGGCGCGCTCTCGCTGCAGCCGATCCTCCAGCTCGCTTCGCGCCCGCTTCCCCGACTCCACCTCGCCGCGCAGCACGCTCGCGTCGGCGTCAGACTTTGCCTCGCCGCCACCGCGGGTGCGCGCCGCCGCATCGCGGGTGCACGCGTCGAGCCGCTTCTCGCAGCCGTCGCGCTCGGCGTGGCAGCTCTTCAGCCCGCTCGCCGCGCGCGTGAAGAGCTCCCGCAGCTGCGGGCCCGCCACAGAGTGGTTGGCCTGCCCTCTGCCGCCGCCCCGCCCTCCGGCGGGCGGCCGCGAGTCAGCCTCGTGCGAGTCCGCCTCTCGTCGGGGCGGCAGGGCGCCGCCTTGGTCGCCGCCGGCTGGCGCCGCGCCTCTCGCCTCGGCAGCCGCCCGATTCTGTGCAGATGCCGCCGCCGCACCGGATCGGGCTGTCCGCTTGTCCTCCTCGCTCAGCGCTGGCGGAGGCTGCCTCGTCGTCTGCCTCGCCTGAGCCTCCTGCGCAGCCGCCCTCGGCGGCGCGTCGCCGATCGGCTGGGCCGCTACGCTCGGGGTGAGCGCCGTGGCTGCGAAGGGCTCCAGCTCGGCCGGCGCCGCCGCCGAAGGCTGCTCCTCGTTGGCCGTCAGGTCGTCGCCGAGCACGTCGGCCAAGTCGTCGGCGAGGCCGTTGGCGGCGTTACTGTCCGAGGCGTCGGAGGCAGCCGAGGCTGCAGAAGCAGGTGCGAGGAGGCCGAGAGAGAGGAGGGTGAGAGCGGCGAGCCGGACGACACGGATGCATTGCATATATATTAGTCGGCGGGCGCTGGTGGGATGGGAGGACGGCACGCCTGACTAGGTGGCGTCGCTAATAATAGATGAAAATTTTTCTTCGCGCCCCCCCCCCGGGGCGCTGTCGGGCGAACCCTGCAGCAGTGCTGCCGCCCGCCGAGTGCTTGGGCGGATGTCCGACTCTGGACAGTCCGTGCTTCTCGCGACGGCCGGCTACGACCACACGATCCGCTTCTGGGAGGCGCCGACCGGCGTGTGCTACAAGACGCTGCAGCACCCCGACTCGCAGGTCAACCAGCTGCAGATCACGGCCGACCGGCAGCGCATCGCCGCGGCGGGCAACCCGTCGCTGCGGCTCTTTGAGATCAACTCCGGCCCGCCGAGCGCGCTCACCACCTACGACGGCCACACCTCCAACGTGACGGCCGTCGGCTTTGAGGCGGACGGCAAGTGGATGTACACCGCGTCGGAGGACGGCACGCTCAAGCTGTGGGACCTGCGCGCGGCCGGCTGCCAGCGCGAGTACGAGTCCGGCTCGCCGATCAACTCGGTCGCCCTCCACCCCAACCAGGTCGAGATTGTGTCTGGCGACCGCGACGGCGACAGCCGCGGGACAGGCGCGAGACCCGACCTCCCTTGCCCGTGACTCCCAGCCGCCTCCCCGCAGGCAACATCCGCGTGTGGGACCTCGCGCAGAACGCGTGCTCGGCGGAGCTCGTCCCGGACGGGGACAAGTCCATCCAGTCGCTCTCGATCGCGCGCGACGCCTCCACCCTCGCCGCGGCAAACGTGCGCGGCTCGGTCTTCTTGTGGAGACTCGGCCCTGCGCCCGGCTGCGGCGAGAGCCGCGCCTCGGCTGATCTCGAGCAGTGCGGCTCGTCCGCCGAGCCGGCGGAGCCAACGGAGCCGGCGGAGGCGAGGGAGGCGAGGGAGGCGAGGGCGCCGTCTGCGGCGGACGGCGCCGAGCCGCGCCATGCCGAGGTTGGAGGAGCGGTGCCGTCGCGGCTGCGGATCGAGCCGCTCCAAAAGCTGCAGGTGCGACCCACCCGCGGCCCGGCCCGGGCCTCGCGCCTCGCGCCGCCGCCCGCCCGCCGCCGACCGCGCCCTCGCGCCCGCCCCGCAGGCGCACGCTTCGTACGTCATCCGCTGCATCATCTCGCCAGACTGCCGCCGCCTCGCCACCACCTCGGCCGACCACACCACCAAGGTGTGGGACATGGCAAACAACTTCTCGTGCGAGGAGACCCTCTCCGGCCACCAGCGGTGGGTGTGGGACGCCGTCTTCTCGGCCGACTCGGCCTACCTCGTCACCGCCTCCTCGGACCAGACAGCGCGCCTCTGGGACCTGGCCGATGGAGTCACGCTGCAGCACTACACCGGCCACCACAAGGCCGTGACCAGCATCGCGCTACACGATGGGCCAGTTTGACGACGCCCGGAGAGACGCAGTGCGACCCCTTACGTGACCATGCACGACCGGCCGTGAGGTCTTCGTACATTGTTCATTGTACCGTGAGTAATTCGTGTTTTTTGTGGCGCGAGGTGGGACGATTTTATTGTAATTATTTCGTCCTACAGTAGATCGTACAACGTGATTTGAATCTCGTGGGAGGCCATTGTCGTTGATTGAATGATTCAATCATTGTGGAGCTGAAGACCCGCAGGGCTACGAAGCCCGTTCACACTCCAAAGCGCAAAGGGGCACAGAGTTATTTTTTTAGACTTGAGTGATCTGTGATCTGTAAGGGTCCGCCCGCAGGCGCATTTTGTATACCGAGGCGGTGCCCGGTGCCGAACCTGTCGGACTTGAGTGCGCGTGCCGCGCGCCCGCGCCCCTCCAGTCCCCAGAGACGCTAGAGGACCCCCGGACCCCGCGTGCCGCACGCGGCGTCCGGCGACGCCGACGTGCGCGACACTTCACAGTCTCAAACAGCCGGCACACAGGGACTAGAGACTAAGCTCTAAGGGGACGACCAAGGTCGCAGTCAGTGTGAGCGGACGCGACGCAAGGTGTACAAGGTGGTCCAGTCAGGAGACCGAGGGAGGGTCACGATGTCACGCGCGACACTGAGACCTCTACGGGGGGGGGGGGGGGGCGAGAGAATGCCCGTTAACACGCTCGGGCTAGTGCTGCTTCCTCACCTCCTCTGGCAGTGGCTCAAGCCACCACGCCTTCGAGTTGGCGTGCCACTCGCGTACCTTCTTCTTGATGGCGTTCACATCCGCGTACTTTGCGCTCTCTAGCATCTTCTTGAGCTGCTTGATCTCCGTCTTCGCCGCCTCGCGCTGCTCCACCGCCGTCTTCGCCGCCTCGCGCTGCTTCGCCGCCTGGTCCTCGATACGGAGCCTTGTGCCGAGCTCCACCGCCGCCCGATCCTCTGCCGACTTGAGAAGCGCCTTGAGCTGCTTGATCTCCGTCTTCGCCGCCTCGCGCTGCTCCACCGCCGTCTTCGCCGCCTCGCGCTGCTTCGCCGCCTGGTCCTCGATACGGAGCCTTGTGCCGAGCTCCACCGCCGCCCGATCCTCTGCCGACTTGAGAAGCGCCTGTGCTTCCTGCAGCTGCGCCTCGAACGCTGCATGCGTCGACGTATTCGTCGTTTGGGTCGGGGGCGCCGTCTGCAACGCCGCTGGCGCCACGGCCATCGCAAAGAGGAGCGCCAGAGCGCCCAACACGACGCAAATCGGTGGGACCGAGGGGAAAAGAGCAAGCACGTGTTTCACGTGCTTGGCGGCCTTCTTGTGCAGGGGCTTGGCGGAGGAAGAGGCGGCGGTGGCGGCGGCGGTGGCGGCGGCGGTGCGCGGTGGCGGCGGCGGTGGCGGCGGCGGTGGCGGCGGCGGTGGCGGCGGCGGCGGCGGCGGCTTCTTCCTGCTCCCTGATAATCTCCTTGTCTCGCCACGCCTCATACTTCTCTGCTGAGGCTTCCTTGAGCCGCTCCCACGCGCCTCCGCCGCCGAGGATCAGCTCCTGCAGCGCAAAAGCAGGTCGGAGTGCTGCGGGTTCGCCGCGTCCGCGGCGCCCCAGTCGTAAATGCGCAGAGCCTTGACCTCGCCGTCCTCGATCGTGGTGTCCTTGGTCGCCATGACTGCCCACGGAGGGCCCGTCGCAACCTCCGCCTGCCTCGACATCTCGTCGATGGTCGACGGATCGAACTGGAAGATCTTGATCTCCTCCTCTTGCAGCTTCTGCTGCACCCATTCCTTGAACTCCTTCTTCTCGGCCGACGTCATCGTGTCAGACTTGGCGATGATCGGGATGATGGGCACCTTTGTGTGGATCTCCTTCATAAATGCGATGTCAACCAGCTTGAGTCGGTGCGGTGCAATGACACAGCAGCTCCGGCTGACTAGGTGTCGATATGATTGCGTACATACAGCCAGTTAGGCTAACTAAACCAGGTTTGCCTCTCGCACCCCGTCTGTTTTTCCTTTCCTTTTTTCTCTACAACACCCTCTCTTTTCCTTTCTAATTTCCCGGGAAAACGCCGTGGAAATCGTCAAATTTTGGGCGCTGACTGAGCCGAGTCTGAGGCTGGTTTGGGCCCAAAATCAGCCAAATGTTAGGCCAAATCGGCAAACTGCCGGGAATTTTGCGGAGAACCCGTGTATACCTGGAATTTACCCTGCGACCGCCTGGGTATTTTGTCGATTTCCTCAATTTTGCCTCAGATTTTGCCCCAGACCAGCTCTCAGACTCAGGGAAACTCGCGAGTTTCCAGAATGGAGCACCAAACACCCTCTGTTTTCCCTGGAAATTTCCGGAAACGCAAAGTGCTGGGGACCCTCTGGTTTCCTTTTAGCCCCCCGCTACCCGGTTGCACTCGTGCGACGTAGCGGGGGGCCACAACTACGTTTACGAAAACATAAGTAGTCCCGCGAGGTGTGAATTGGCCGCCCCACGCACGCCGCACGAGGCGCATGCGTGCAGCGGCAGCGCGTGCGCCATGCGCTCGTCGCTCCACTCGCCCAGCAGCCGCCGCTTCGTCTCGTCGGAGACGTGCACGCAGCGCTGCAGCAGCGCCGCCGTCTCGTCCTCGGGCCGCTCCAGGTCCATGACGACGTTCGTCGAGGCGTGGAAGCGCGTCTCCAGGTCGATGGCCGCCTGCTCGGCCGCGGCGAGCTTGCCCTGGTCGACGCACATGCCGCACACCGCGTGCGCCGGGCAGCCGCACTGGCCGCGTTGTGGGCGCACGGTCTTGGCGACCGCCGGCGCTGCGCGCCGGTCGTGCTGCTCACGCTGCCGGCGGCGCTGGTCGCGCGCCTGCCGATCGCGCGTGTTCGCGGCGGCTGCATCTCCTGCTCGTTTCGCTCGCACCCGAGCGGCTGTCGCCAGGCGCTTCAGGTCGGCGGTGCTGCGCGCGCGGCCGTCGGCCAGGCACAGCCACATGTCCTCCTCCTCGGCAGGCTCGCACGGCTTGCCGTCGAACTGCGGCTGGCGCCCGCGACGATGCTTCGCCCAGGCCGGGCACGATGGTGCCGCGACGAGCGGCGTCGAGGCGACGGCCATCGATGGGTCCAGAAGACTTGGAGACACTTCTCGACCAAAAAATCAAAAAGATCGAGCACAATTGCGTTACATGGGCATGGCCGGGGTTTCTCCACCGAACGATCTTACTTTCGGTCTATCGAAAGTGTTGATCGATAACGTATTGTTATTGAGCGGTTTCGCGCGTCCGCGTGGCGCGGGGTGAGTGTAAAAGTTCTTTTGCCGCAATCGAACGGTGTAGCACGCGCAGGGGCGAGACATTTTACGCTGCACACCCCGAGGCCAAGCTCTGAGACTCAGTCACAAGAACGAACAACTGAACGAGTCAGTCGACCTCCCCGCGCAAACCCCGGAAAGAATCCCTGCAGTGCCCCCCCCCCCCCCCCCCGGTTGCCACTGCGCACTGCGTCCTCTTTCGCGCGGCTAGGCCGCCTCCGCCTTGGCCCTCGCCGCGGCCGCTGACGCGCGCCTCGCCTTGGCGGCAGCGACCGCCGCCTCGGCTGCCGCCGCTGCTGCCGCTGCTGCATCTGCCGCTGCTGCCGCCTGCGCCGTCGCAACGGCCGCCTCCTCCTCCGCCGCGGCAGCCTCCTCCTCTGCCGCTGCCAGAGCGTCGGCCTCGGCTTCCGCCTCCCGGCGCGCCTCCGCTGCCACCATTGCTGCCTCCTCACCCGCCTCTGCCGTCTCCTCCTCGCTCGCTTCGCCTGCCGCCTCGGCCTCCTCTCCCAACGCCTCGGCCAGCCCCTCGACCGACGTCTCCGCCGTGATGCCGTACCGAATCCGCTCCTCGTGGAGCGTCTCGAGAAGCCTGATCAAGCCCTCCCTGTCCAGCTTCGCGGGCTTGGCTGCGGCTGCCTCTGACGGCGCCTCGGGATCCTGCGACGGCCCAGCGCCGCCGCTCCCGCCGCCCTTCTTCTTCTTCTTCCCCTTCTTGCCCTTGCCGCGCTTCTCCGCCTCGACCTCCGCCAGCAGCTCCTCGGCGTGCCGCGCCGCCTCCGCCTCCGCCGTCGCCCGCTCCGCCGCCCTCTCCGCCGCCCCCGCAGCCCACGCCGCCTCCTTCGCCGCCTTCTCGGCCGCCTTCTCGGCCGCCTTCTCGGCCGCCGCATGCTCCTCGAGGGCGCGCACGCACTCGGCGCTGCCCTCCTCCTTGGCAATCTGCAGCGCTGTGCGTCCACTCGCCGAGCGCAGTTCCGTGTCGGCGCCCGCCCGCAGTAGGCAGAGCAGGACGGCGGGGTGGTCCCTGAGAGCGGCGAACATCAGCGCAGTGAGGCCGACATTGGCCTGCAAATTGATCTCTGCCCCGTGCTGCACCAGCAGCTCGACCACCCGCTCGTTGCCGTGGTGGGCAGCGAGCATCAGCGCGGTGCAGCCGACGCTGTCCTGCCAGTCGATCTCCGCCCCGTGCTGCAGCAGCGTCGCGGCCAGCCGCTCGTAGCCGCAGGTGGCGGCGAGTATCAGTAGAGTGATAAAGCCGCTCAGACCCTTCGCAGTGAAAGTCGCGTCCACCCGCCCGCCGCCGTCGAGCCACGCCAGCACCACCGCCTCGTCGCCTTGCACAGCCGCCTCCACGACCTCCTCGGGGACGGCGTCCTCGCCCGTTCCGCTCTCCACGCCGCCAGACGAGGACGCGGCAGTTGGTGCCGCCGCCGCCCCCTTGCCCGAGGCGGCATCGCCGTCCGACCCTGCGCCGCCGGCCTCGACCGCCGCCGCGTCGCGCCTCTCCGCCGCCACCTCGCCGAGAAACGTCTTGACGGCGGCGACGCACTCGGTGTGGCCCTTCTCCTTGGCGATCTGCAGCGCCGTCTTGCCCGCCGCAATGCGCATCGCCATGTCTGCGCCCGCCCGCAGCAACTGGAGCAGAACGGCAGGGTGGTTGAAGAAGGCGGCAGCCGTGAGCGCAGTGTGGCCGTCGCTGGCTTGAAGGTTGATCTCCACACTGTGCCGCAGAAGCGTCTCGACCATCTGCACGTGGCCCGTGACGGCGGCGGCCATCAGCGCTGTATTGCCGTAGGTGTCTTGCGCATCCGCCTCTGCGCCACGCTTCAGCAGCATATCGACCAGCTCGTTGCGACCGTGACCGGCGGCGATCAGCAGGAGCGTCCAGCCACTCACACCGCCACGCCTGCACGTCGCATCAACCCGCCCGTCCCCGGCGAGCCACGTCTGCACCACGCCCACCTTGCCGTCCGCCGCCGCGGCTTGGATCTTTTTGGGCAGCGCGAGCGACGCACCCTGTGGCGCCGTTGAAGCGCGACCGCGACCTTTGCCAGCGCCAGTTCGGCCGGGCATGAGGCGCGCGTGGGAGGGAGGCGCGCCGAGGCGGGAGCGAGAGGGCGAAAATTGTTTTTCTTTTATACCGATTATCAGTAGAGACGAAGTGCACAAGTTTGTCCATCCCGTGCAACTCGTGGGTTGGCAGAACCGACCGGTGGTGGCGGAACCGGCGGTCGACGATTTCGACAATAGTCGCTGTGAGGTCTGTGCAGTCGCCATAGCCAGGCGTGTCGATCAAGGTCACCTTGAGGGTCACGTGCGGCTGCCCGTCGGCGCTGTACTTGAAAAAAAGGGCGCGTGTGTGTGTGAGAACGGCAGCTGGCTCAAATTTTCTCTATCGGTTTCCAAGTCTGCGGTGTTCTGTGTACCACTGTGAGCGGGTGAGCGACTCAGGTTTTCAATTCCGAGTGGAAAGAGATGTGTTGTTGAGAATTGTCAATTGATGAATGAAGAGGAAGAAACGAAAGCGGATATTTTGTAAACGCGGGTTCACCTCCCGTGAGCCGATGATGCGGGTCCAGCCAGGTGTGTACTTTTTTTGCTTGGGCGGGCCTGATGCTGAAATTCTGGAAAAACCTGACCGGCCCCTGCGGTGCCCCTACCTACCTACCTACCTACCTACCCTACTTATGGGAAACTAAAAAAGAAATCACGGGATGGGTGAAGGTGGGGTACTATACCAACTAAAGTGATGGCTGGTGGTACTCTCCTGCAACCACAGTCCTTCCTGTGACATGGCAGGCCACTATCAAGCCCTACAAGCACCAGATCACCCACTTGGGGAGGGTTGACGTCGTGATTTTCGCCGAAAATTTCTTTTTTTGAACGACGGGAGGGCCCAGACCTACCCTACCTACCCCGGCATCAGGCCCGCCCAAGCAAAAAAAGT